GGACGGAATCCCTAACGGCGTTAGGGAATATTCTGTCCAAAAGCAAGCATGTTCCGTCAAAACTAACCTGACGCCGTTAATTGCCGTTAGGAATCTTCCGTCAAAGTTGATAGAATATTCGCCGTCTTCTCCAGTAAGTCTCGCCGGCCGCTGCCGTCCGTCGCCGTCTACAACTCGAATTCTCGCCGGAAACTGGAAAATTTTCAAAACTTCATATCTTCTTCATTTCTCAACCAAATTCCATGAAATTGGTACCAAATTGAAGCTTACAACGAGTAGAACAAAACCTTACCACTTTAAAGCTCTAAAACCAACGGAATCTCGCTGGAGAAACCCACGATATTCTGGCCAAACTTGTAACTCACTGGAATTGGGCTTCCCGACGTCCAAAACACTTCAACTTTCTTCTCCGAGCTTCGTGAGGACCTCCAAAAGCTCCCTATGACCTTAAAAACTCTTAAAAGCTGAGGTTAGGGTTCTCGAGGTTTTCGAAGGTTTCAAGTCTCACAAATGGTATGGATGAACTCAGGAGCTTGCAAGGATTTGAATCTTACCTTCTAGACGTCGATCCGTGCGTGAAAAATTGGTTTTGAAATTCGTCCGTATGCTTGCAGAGGAAATGGAATGAAGTCCGAGAGAGAAGAGAGAGAGAGAGAGTCACGGGAGTGTGGTATGGGTGTGTGTGTGTGTGTGTGTGTCCTGTAAAGTCAACCACCAAAAACAACTAAACAACACCTCACAACACCAATTAACGTCCAAGGGCATTTCAATCTTTTTGCACCTACGGTACAAATAATTCGGGACGGGTTGTCACATTTATTATTGTCTTCTAACTGCGATGTAATATAATCTAAATTTTGTATAATTGTTTTTATGAAATTTTTCTGAAAATGCTCTAACAACTGGTTTGACAAATGATTATGATTATTATTTTCTAATTTTATATTTTCTGCTTGACTAATAATTAGATCTACTATACTATTGGCTTGTGGATTATCTTCACTACGCAAATTATGATTATGCTTTCTCAATGGAAAATAACAAACAGTCTAAGGTTATTTTTCTTTTTTGAGGTTCACTAATTTTTAAATTAAGATAATCTATCATAAACTACAATTTACCTTTCTCTAAAGTTACTGCTAACTGGTTTCTTAGAAACTCTCTTTCTTCTCTTAATGTCTCTAAAACTTGATTTGTTGCTCTTTTTGCTTCTAAAACTTTATGCTGCATTCTGTGTTATTATATTTACTAATAAATGAAGGATGTTCAAGATAACTAAGATAAAACTTTTGCTTCTTCAAAGTATTGCTAATTCTTTTGGATATATATGCAAATCTTCTCTTTATGCTAATTATAGTTGGGTGTCTGAGACAATAAATATCTGGTGGTTGTGGTTGACAAGGTCTACAAGGACAATAATAAATGTTGTTCATACAAAATAAATAAGTGTGATATCAGTTGTGTTAATGACTTATGTCCTTAATGTACTTTACTATTATAATTATACTATTAAAACACTAAACTTGGCTCTGATACCAAATTCAGAAAGCAAGACCGGTTAAATAGTCGGATGACCATTATAACAACTAGACATAAAACCTTGCACATAGAACTTGACATGTTTCAGAATGGTGGTCACTCACAATGCAAGTATAAGGCCTTAATGGCTAAACTTAGAGATACGAAGAACTCAGAAGTACCCTGGTTAATGTCCAGTTATTTGTATGGCAATCATTCAACTATAATAGAATGCTCGAACAAAGTATGATCGTCAGTTTAGCAGGTTAATAATATAATTACAATAATGTTTCCTTGTTTTGGACTAGAAGTCTATTTAAACAAACACACTAAAGAAGGAAAAGAAAACTTACTTAAGACTTGGAGATTACTTGAATATGTACACTTGAACTTTTATTGATATACATAATGTTTACAAAGATAATTGTTTACAAGAAAGTGTTTACAAGGATGCTATGAAGGCTCCGGATGAAGATGGTGTGAGTATATGAAAGTATGGTATTCAGGTGTTGAGATGTTGAAGTGTTGATGTGTGTTTTTACAATGAATGGAACTCCTCTTATATAGATTGAGTGAGTACTTTGAAAAATTAAAATCTTTACAAATATATGGTATGGGCATCTCCTTGGTACTTGTTGATGCGCGATTTATACGCACACAAACTAAACCCTATTTGTGACAATTGTAGTAATGATGTAAGTAGGGATCGTTCTAACCGGGGATTAACTAGGGGTGCTAATCTATTTTGAATTGACTTGAAAACACAAAAACTAAATGTAAATACTCTTAACAAGACTACTATGACTCAGAATGGCTTTGAAAAACTCAAACTGCCTAAAACAATCAAATTGACTCAAATAGAAACTAGAACTTGATTTAGACGAATTTGAAAGTGTTTATGACTCCAAAAGCTTAAAGATACAAAAATAAAACAAATACGAATGATTAAGACTCAACGAAATATGGGGGAAATGTGTTTGGACGATATTAAATTAAATGGACAGAATATAATTAAAGGAAAAATGTAAATATGAATGTGATGAAAATATGGATGATGGAATAGCCAAGGGGTTCTTCTCCACACATGTTACACTTGCATACAATATTGATTCTCAGTTGGTCTTTCGATAAGTTGTGAAACTCAACACCCCGGGTTAATTAGGTCTGCTTAAATTAACCGTCAAGTTTTCCTTAAGTTAATGAATTGGATGGGTTAGCGCAACGCAATTCACCACATTCTCCAAAAGTCCTTTACGTGAAAAGCACAATAAAGATACAATCAAAGATCATTAAGCATTATGAAAACTATAAGTGTTGACGAGGCATTCGTTACTATGATGAGCATGAAACTCGTGCCAAGAATTCATTTAACGCGATTGTTTATAAGCAACCTCCACTACTTGTGAATATAAGTTCGTAACGATTAGGTGAAATTCACTTATATTCTAGCGTCATATTCATGCATGAAAATTAAGCGCGCATTCTTAATAAACATTCATAAATAAGTTATCAATCAAACGGTTAAACAAATTGAATCCACAACTTATGAAATTCCAACGAAAGTTAATCAATTCATATTGCAAATATAAACATAGTTTCGAATCACCCCCTAGCTAAAGGGGGTTTAGTTCCTCATAACTTTGAAATCAAAGAAACCCCTAAACATTCCAACAACTCAAACTTGAATTGTATGAACGTTTAGGCACTCTTCTCTTCCATTCTCATACGTACAAAACAAAGAGAATTAAATTTAAACTTTGAAATCAAAGAAACACCTAAACATTCCAACAACTCAAACTTGAATTGTATGAACGTTTAGGCACTCTTTTCTTCCTCGTTGTTGTAGCACAAGGTCTAAGGTGAGCTTTGGGGATTATGTGAAGTGTTTTGGAGGGATGGGAAGTGGTTGGATAGTGGCTGCAATGGAGGAGAAAAACTGCACAGAAATGGAAGGGGATTTGCGGCACAAGGGTTGTGTGAAGTGTTGTGTGAAGTGTTGTGAATGAAAAATGAGATGGAATGGGGAGTGAATCCCTGAAATGAATGAAGTGTGTGTGGTTTATATAGGGAGAGAATGGGTGAGAATGTGGCTGCAATGCATGTGAAAAACAGCTAGGAAAGTGGGTGGAAAGCTGGAATTGCACAAGGGGAATGCTGGAAAGTGGAAGGGATGCACGGCATGGATGTTTTGGTGCATGTGTTGGCTGATTTGGTTGTTGGGAAAAAAATGTGTTTGCATGTGAATGTTGTGAATGGCAGCTAGGGGAGGGAATATATGCATGTGGTGGCTGAATGATGAAGAGAAGTTGCTGAAAAATCTAAGGGAAAGGCACGGCATTGAAGGTGTTTTTGTGTTGGAAATGCATGTGATTTCATGTGTTCAAGGATAGAATATGGCTTGGATGATTAATCCATGGGATAGACAGCTAGGGGGGGAACATATGCATGTTGGAGCATGAATTATATAATGAAAAGTGAATGATTAGTGCTCTAGTGTTAGGACAAAGGTGCAGCTGAAATGAAAAGGGAAATGCAAAGGGAGTTTGAAGGGAAGGCATGGCATGGATGTGTTTTGGGTGTGTGTGTGTGAATGTGTGGCTTAATGATTAAGTGAATGAGTATGTGGATGCATGTGGATTAAAGGGGTGTGAATGGTGGTGTAATGATGAAATGAAATGGCTAGAAAGTGGCAAGGGAAGGCACGGCACAATGTTGTTTTGGTTCTTGAAATGCAAGTGAATGCATGTGAGTGCAATATGAAAAGAATGACTAATTAATGTATGTAGGGTGCAGCTAGGTTGGAAAGGTGTGGATTGTGGCTGCAATTTAGGGAAAGGAAATAGGTTTGATGCATAAATAAAAGGGCAAAGTGGCTGCAATGATGAAGACAAGCTGGAATTGATGTGGAAGGCACGGCAAAGGATGGTTTCTTGATGGTTTTGGGTTTGTGATGCATTGTTTGATTGGGCTAGAGGTTTTGCATGGCTCAAAGGTTTGTTTGATTGGGCTAGGCCCTTTGTTTTATGTCCCAAAGAGCATACAAGGCCTTCAAATTCGTCCATCATCTTAGCTCCATGGATAAGCTATCCAATCCATGCCCAAAAATGCTCCAAATAGCCTCAAAATGCACTTTCTTGCTCCCTAAGCCCTTAGAACCTGAAAACACACAAAAGAAGCATAAAGGACTAAAATAACTAGAGAACAAGCCATTTAAGTCGCATGAATATGCTCCTATCACTTGTCATCTTTTATTGTTGCTGAAATTATCAGCACTGTTTCTGAAACATAGTCTGACTTATTTGTTTTTTTTTTTTTTTTTTTTTTTTTTTTTTTTTTTTTTTCCGCTTTGCATGTGATATCTCTAAGTTGCCTATTTCCTTGTCTTTTTTTCCATCCTCATTTTGGGTATTATTGAAAAATTTTGTCCCGATGATTAAAAGGAAAGATTTTGAGGGGTTATGGTTAGTTTTCCATATTTTCGTAGAAGTCGTAAGTCCACCTTTTTTCGGAATTCCCGACTTCAGCCACACTCCTCTCTCTCTCTCCACCACGACCCGAGAAACCCAAAACCCACAGGAAAAGAAATATTCTGATTTCGCCGGCAGCCATGGCTTCCTCCACCGACGTGAAGAAAATAGTAGGCGACCTGGACAAGGAGTCCTTCGTATCCCTTCTCACCAAGCTTATTGGGGAGTCCAAGTATCTCCAGAACAACCCACCTGAGCTGATCCCTCAAGAGGACCGAGCCGTCAAGCACGTCCTTGATTCCCTGCTTCCCCATAGCACCACCACAGGCGGTGGGCCCCTGGTGATCAAACACGTGACCTACTTCCCCGGCAGAGGCAACGTTATTGTGGAGTACCCGGGAACTGTTCCTGGGAAGATCTTGTCCTTCGTTGGCTGTCACATGGACGTCGTCACTGCTAATCCCAATGACTGGGTTTGTTTCTTTCATTCGATTTTCGGCTTTAATTTGTTCTGTGTTTGCTATCTGGGATTGGATTGAATTGGATTGGATTGGATTGGATTGGACTGGATTGGATTGGATTCTATCTATAGTGTGGAGCGTTAGAGAGTGACAACTTTATGTTCAATATGTTACAAGCTGTTCAACCCAATTTTGTGTTTTTATTTTTTGTCGACTATCTTCGTAGGCTGATTGTTTTGGCATTTCTGTTATGGGGTTTGTTTGAACTGATTAGAGCTTTTACTTGTTTTGGCTTTTGAGTGATTAGCGGTTGTGTTAGTTGTTTGGAGGATTATCTGTTTAGTGTTAGCTTAATTCCAATCAATATTTGCCGAGTTTCGATTCTTTTTTTGTTGATTTGGAACAGCTCTGCCTTTATACATTTTAGTTATGTTTCTTCACTTGGATTTTCCCAAATACATATGTTTTGCTTTATCCTTTGGGTTTATCCCAAAACTAATCTTTTGATTTCTCCATCTTTTTGTGATTGAATAACAGCAGTTTTCTTGGTTTTCTGATTACTCATATTAAGCCTAATCCAAATGTTTTAACTACTGAAGTCTTCTATCCTTTTAATGTTGCAGTCAAAATCCCAATCATGATTCTTTCTGGTGAATTAAACTAAATCCAATCAATTTGAAACCCGAACAAGTTTGTTCAGTTGACAAATTTACCCTGCATAAATCGTTTATTTTGGGGGCTTTCGTCCTTATGTTATGAGAAGTTAGATACTATAATTTGGTAATTTGCTGCCTTTAGATTTATGTTGTTCAAAATTGATTCCTATCCATAAATAAATTGATAATCCAATTCGAGTTGAACTCTGCTGATTTGAAAATTCTACAAACCCACAGATGGTTTTCGGGCTTCTTTTTTTTTTTTTTTTTTTTTTTTTTTTAACAAAACCCACTGTGTGGTTTCCTTTGTCCATATATTAGTAACTATGGTCTAATTTCTGCTAGCTTGTCCTTCCTTCTATTTTGCTAACTACTTGTCTAGTTATGATCCCAACTGGAATCAGCTGGTAATATATTACCATTTTAGCGTGATGCATCTGAAATTGATTATAACCATTAACCAGATTTTTTTACCCTCTTTTTCTTTAAGATCCTTCAGCTTACGTCATTTGACAGTAAGCTTTGGTTCAAGACAAGCATGAAATCTCATAACTGTGGCCAATTAAATTTTATTACGCTTCACATCTTACGTTTTGGAAATACAGTTTCAGATGCAAGTTAGTCTTTTATTACAGGAGTTTGAGTTTTTCATTGGTGTTGTGTACAGAATAATGGATCAACATTGGGCAGTAGTTAAAATGCAATAATGATCGTTCTTTCCTTTTCTCAATTTTGGTGGGTTAGTGATGATTCATTGTGCATCAAATTTGATTCTTGTATTTGCAGGAATTTGATCCATTCTCATTGAGCATCGATGGAGATAAACTTCGTGGCCGTGGAACTACTGATTGCTTGGGTCATGTTGCACTTGTAACTGAGCTCATGAGAAGGCTGGCAGAGACAAAGCCAAAATTGAAGTCAACTGTGGTTGCAGTCTTTATAGCAAATGAAGAGAATTCTGCCATTTCAGGAGTTGGTGTGGATGCGCTCGTAAAGGATGGGCTACTCAGTAGGCTAAAGGATGGTCCTCTGTAAGTAATTTTCATTTTTTGTAAAACAGGATAACCAAGAAATGTCATGCTGATTCATGTTGGCGTTCAACTCAGGTTTTGGATTGACACAGCAGATAAACAACCTTGCATCGGTACTGGTGGTATGATACCTTGGAAGCTTCATGTGACTGGGAAGCTTTTTCACAGTGGTTTGGCACACAAGGTATGCCACTGTGTCCTGTACGCCATTTGAAGTGACATTTCAGTACTTAATCTGCTTACTATTGAACCATTGGTTTAGATGTATATCCCGCTGCCTACTCCACTGCAGCTACCATGGTCATAGTCCCGCCTGGCATAAAATTCTTAAGTTCGATTAATATGATGTTTAGGGTTGGGGATCAATGGTGAAAATACTAACTGAGCTGGACACTATGAGCTGGATATAGTATTTTCAAAGGGGTCATGGTCAATATAATACAAATCAGGGATTTTATTTTACTGTTGTGTGATTTATTACAGGAGCAAAACCACCCAACACTTTTGGGATGAGGTAGTAATAAGAGAAGGCATAAAGATTTTCTTTGATAATAGTAAATATGCTCTTTGATAAAGTGCAATATAGGATTTCAGTCGCTGCTTCTGAACTATTCTGGGTAGGGAAGTTGATATCTGGTGTGGGGTTTTTATGAATGTTGAAGCACATTTCGTCATAGCAAATTCTAGCCTTTTCTCTTTAATTGGTAAAAAGCATTTGTTGGACTTGCAGCCAAAGAAGCTAAGGAGTTATCTTGGTTCACAATTAAATTTTTTTTCTTATCTACAAATCACTCCTATATTTCGTTACAATAAAACTTGTTTGGAGCATTCCAGAGCCTGAACTTATGTCTTCTTGGACAATTGAACATTTGTATCGTGAATCACAATGGTATTACGTCCTCTTTGTACTTATTTATCTTATTGATGTTGAATATCTGTAGGCTATAAACCCTTTGGAGCTAGCTATGGAAGCACTGAAAGATATCCAGTTGCGGTTCTATAGAGATTTTCCTCCCCATCCCAAGGAAGAGGTCTATGGATTTGCTACACCATCAACCATGAAGCCAACACAATGGAGTTGTAAGTTTCTGGTTTCAAGCTTGTGGTGAAAAATGTTGGAGAATCATGGATTACACTGACCTCTTTTTGGTTTCAGATCCAGTTGGTGGAATAAATCAAATTCCAGCTGAGTGCACAATTTCGGGAGATGTCAGGTTAATATTCTCAGTGACTTGTTTGAGGCTTTTCTGTAGTAGTGATATTTATTTTCTTGGTTGTAGGAGAAGGAATATCTCATCGAGGATTTTTCTTTAATCTTTTTCTTTTCTAGGATTTTTCTTATTAATTTTTGTTGTTTACAGGTTAACTCCCTTCTACAAGTAAGCAACTGGCTTTCTTTTGTGAATTTCCATATCCTAAAGGTTTGTTGTAAAGATTTTATCTCTGCCCCATTCTCCATTTTTAACACGCAAACACTTTTAACCTGTTACAGCGTTAAGGATGTTATGAAAAAGCTTCAAGAATATGTGGATGACATTAACGAAAACATAGGAAACGTAGAGTCACGAGGTCCGGTTTCAAAGTATATCTTACCAGATGAAAACCTAAGGGGAAGGTACTCTCTGTCTCTCTCAAGATGTTTGTTTTTTTTGCTTAGCTACCATCAAATATTTCTCTTAAATAAATAATAAATAAATAAACAAACAAAAGCAAAACAAGACAAATATTTTTGGCAAGTTAATTATTAAAAGAAGAAAGAAAGTGTATTTACATTTTTTGTCTCTCTACAGCCTTACATTAAGTTTTGATGAGGCAATGTCCGGAGTTGCTTGCGATCTCAACTCCCGTGGATTTCATGTATTGTGTAAAGCTACTGAAGAGGTTGTTGGTCATGTAAAACCGTACTCAATTACTGGAAGTTTACCTCTCATTCGAGAACTGCAGGTGCAATAATTTTTCCTTATTCCAAGCCCTTTTTTTACTTTTTCTTCTCTTCTAGTTTTCCTTGAGTACTCATTCTTTGAATTATATCAATTTGTTGTGTGCTAGGATGAAGGATTCGATGTTCAAACTGCTGGCTACGGTACAATGCTATTTCTGTTAGCCTTTTGGATTTAGCTCACAAAACTTACATATAATTGAGAACTTGCCTATGGGCTGTCAGTTGTGAGAGGATGAGAGAACAAGGGAAGCTGGGTTCAAAAGAAGGAAACCTAGTTTATTTAATGCATAATAGTTTGTTCTTCCTGGGAGTTGATCGGTTATTATACCCGAGTCGATGATGTTCTGATTCATTCCTGTTATGCATGTGCAGGCTTGATGGCAACATACCATGCCAAGAATGAGTACTGCCTTTTTTCCGATATGCGCCAAGGCTACCAGGTGTTTCTCAGCGTTATCTCTCAACTAGAAGACTGAGAATGTGCTAAGAAACAAAAACAACTTAGAAGAACGAGAATAACAAGAAGTTGCAATGACACTACCAAATCACACCAAAATTGAATAGTGCCTTCTTCTGATGTTTTCCGAGGCTATCGGGTGTTTGTCAGCAGTCACAACCCTGGTGTCTCAACTAGCGAAAGCAAAATGTTGGTATAATCTTTTAATTCTGTTGAGGGCATACGTTCTGCACCGAGTTTAGTGCATTTCATTACCAATTGTTGATGCCATTTTGTGCGTAACTGCGCTATGCGATAACCTTTTTTTTTCCTTTCCTGCATGAGCTTTGGAACTTAGGATCTCCATCTCACTTTGCTCATTCCATGTCAGTTACAGTGACAGTTTTTGTTTTCCTTTTTGGGTTAACTGCATTCCCATTTAGGAGATTCTATTACAATCCAATCAAATAGTTTCTAGTATGTGTGTTAGATTAGTTGTAAACAACAGTGTGTCTGCCCCCTCACACTCAAATTTGAATCTTCTTTTGGGAGATTAGTGTAATTTAAATAGAATGCAGCATATAACCGTCTAAACACGTGTGATTATGTAGGGTTTAGAAAGGATAACTTTTCTTTCCGACTACTCCATCTTATGTCTTCAACGTTCATGTCTTAATAGCATAGGGTAAGAGTTGGGTCATCACCGGAATGTATCACCATCAGATCTAGGACAGCCTTCCGGCTTAAACCCTATAGATCGCCAGCGACAACGAAAAACAAATATTAACAACTTTAATGTTCACACACCCTAGGTAGTTGAAAGGAAACCATCAATGAAGAGAAAACTAGTGACTTTGTTCACAGCCAAGCAACGCCTCAATAGTCGCAACATCTGACTTTGTTCTGCTTCCTAAGCACAACCACAAAGTAAGGACAACCGGCAACTAAACAAGAGAAGCCTGCTTCATCTAGCAGACAACAAAGTGAAAGTGGCGGTATAGGAAACATCGGAGCTCTACGCACAACCTCAATAGTATTCGTGGTTGAAAATTAGAAAAAGGATCAACAAGGAGGAGGGATACCAGTGGGGTAAGAGGAACATAATAGATTGGGATAAAAAGCAGGAGGGAAAACAGTAGAAGCAAGGAAAAGTGGAGTAGGAAAGAGGGGGGAGGAACGGTGACCGACCTCGACTGAAGCTAGGGTTGCCACTATCAGATTTGCTCAAATATGAAAGCCTCACACAAAAAGGTGAGAAATACTCTTAATAAGGGAGAAAGACTCTCACTCGGAGAGAAAAGATTTATATGGACTTTTGTCGAGTTTTTAAAGTGAGGTAAATTACAACATCAGTTTAGGATTTAGGGTGATTGGTTTCTAAATTGACAAAATGTGTAGCATATTGAGCCATATATCCTAATAAGGGTAAATTAAGGTTTGACCCCTTGAATTATCATCCTAGTTGAAATTGACCCTTACATTATTTTTTTGGTAAATTAGCCCCCTGAACTATTTAAAATCAGTTAATTAACTCTTTGTCGTTAGATTGCGGAATCAATTCCGTCAAATTCAAGGGCAAATTAGTAATTTCATCATCAATTGTTACTTATCAGCTATAACCGCCAATAAAATTTTGACACATGGACACAGAATAATTAAAAAACATATAGCATAATGAGAAAACATAAAAAAACCTAATGTTTACATAACGGATCATCTCACATCATCATTACACATTATTTTTTTTTCAAATGTCATAAGTTCATTCATGGTTATATTTGACAAGTAAGAAATGATGAAGGAAAGGCTAATTTCTCTTTGAATTTGACCAAATAGTGGATGGAATCTACTAATAAGGGTCAATTGGTTGATTTTAAATAGTTTAGGGGGTTAATTTACCAAAAAAATAGTTTAGAGGATCAATTTCAACTGGAGCAATAGTTCAAGGGGTCAAATGGCAGTTTACCCATCCTACTAAATTGGCGGTTAGGTTTCTGCTTATACGTCCCGAGTTTGAAACTTCTTATTCTCAGTTAATGTAATAATTTCAAACCTATAATAATCCCTACCCTAAGTTAATGTAATAGTTTCGAGCTTGTTATGGATTAGGAAAAATTTATGAGAGGATGAGTATGACGTTGTATGCTCTTTATTACTCGGTGGCTAAATGTTATGAAACTCAACAGCTCCACATGAATAAGCTTAAGGAATGGATGAAGTGTTACATTCTAAACTTATCTTTATTGTGTTTATATTTTGTGGTAAATTACATTTTATCCCTTCAAGTTTGGATGCAATTGTAACATCATACAACATCTTTAAAACATTTCAATCTCATGCATTAATTATCATTTATTTCAATTTCTTATATCAAATAAAAAATTCGTTAATTCATGATGTGACATTCAATTATGTCATGTAAATGAGAGAAACGAGAGAGAGAAGGGAGAAAGAGAGAGGAGAGATGGAGAGGCTAATGGTATAAGTGATAACGTGGCAAATGCAGAGCCCTCGTAGCAAATCCAGTTCCCTCTATCTTGATAGCCGTCCCAATTTCTCGAGTTTTGTTCTCTTCTTCACCTAATGGTATTCAGATAGCTTTCGAGTGATGAAATTTGTAGGTCACACCAGATTTACATTGCCCAATTTTCAAGTAGAATGCACATGGGTGTTTAGAACATTGCTTTATTGCTTGTTGGTCTTTCTGTCATCGCCGAAGTAGATGAGGAATTTGAAGGAGCCTTCAGAGATGGTGCGGAAGCCGTCGGATCTGATCGATGACTGGTGCATGAAGAGGTCCTTGCCTTCGTCTTTTGGACGGAGTTGGGGAAAGGGTCGGGAAAGACGAAAGAGACGGGTCGTCGGCGGCAATTGGGCGATGATTTGAGCGAAGAGAGAATAGCAGCTTTGGCACAACAAATTCCGGTGTTCCTCCATAGCTCACTCTCTATCTGCGCGTTTCAGATTTTATCAGATTTGAGGTGGAAAAGAGAGAGAGAGAAACGGGAGAGAGAGAGAAACGGGAGAGAGAGGAGAGATGGAGAGCGAAGAAGATGAAGTGGTAGTGGTGGAGACGAACTTTCTATTTATTTTATAATTCATATTTTGTTATGTGGCACAATTGACTGTCGCGTTATTAAAAGTAGGGTTTTGCATTTATTACTTAGTTAAATTACTAGATTTTTTAACTAAATGTATGAGATTGAAAAGTTTTAAAGATGTTGTATGAGGTTGTAATTGCATCCAAACTTGAAGAGATAAAATGTAATTTACCATTTTTTTTAATTCTTGTGTGTTTAATGGCTTTTGCTTCTTTCTGTGTGTCTAGGGAATTCAATCTAAATATTATAGTTTAATATATTGTTATCTTATTTAATAAAAAAATTTTGCAATGAAATTTTGATCAACAGAAAAAAGTGAGATTGTCCTTATCTTGAAACGATCGTCGAAACCACAAAAAGCATAATTCAGCATGTTGTAGCAATATTAGAAAATATGAAAATATAATTATAAATTCCAATGGTAATATTCATAAAGAAAATCACACCATCAATTGTGTACATAATTAACTTAGAGATTGAGGTTTGCATGTAAATGCAATGTCCTAAAGATAGAACTTTGCCACAACCCTTGTGCTTGTAGTTCGGTAGGCGTTTGTCTCCCAGTATTCAACAATCTATAACCTGAAGTTAAAGCACCTTGTTTTTCAGACTCCAATGAACTTTATATATTCCTACTCTCAAGACACGACTCGAAATTTGACTAAAAAGGAAGAAAAGGCACTGAAGAAAACTCTTCTCTCAATTCATTTAGACGTATGGGATGCTTGAGTTCATATAGAGCTCAAGCCACTCTTTTTGAAACATGGTGATTGTTGCCTAAAGTTCTAACGAACAGATGCAACTCATGAATTTGAATTCAGCTATGACACTTGACTCTTATTTTTTCATTCACACAAAAACTAAATATATTAAACTAATATTATAATATATAATTTCCAACAATCCCCCACATGAATGCAAAATTAGGAATAATTCGAGAGTGCAGGCGGACAAGAGATGCATCGGGAGAGGTTTGGACTTGAACCTACCTAGTGAATACTTATCGGATTTACTTGGTGACATAGTGGATGGGGAAGATACCGAGACAATAAGCAGCACACATCACTAGTCCTAATATATTACGGTTCATATAGTTGTGTTCATTTTAGTCCTGAAAAAATCTAGGTTTCATGATAACGTTAGAGAATTTAGCCATCTTGTACTCATAGAAGTGACCCACTTCTACTTTCATATAGGCGACCATTGATTAAGAATGCTATGCAATATTCCTCTTATTTATAAGATATCAGTGCCATTAAGCATAAATATACACCCTAAAACTTCTGCAGACAACACACTTTTTCCACCATTGGAATAGTGTTATATAGTGTGTTAACTTCTTTAAATCATACCCAACGAGTTTGCCTCTTAAACTCGGACCATGGGATCTTCAATCAACTAAGTTAGGTTTTCGTCAGGCTGATTCCTTAGTTATGTTGGCTTTAACCTCACTCGCCTCGATGATCAACTTACTCTCTAGTCTAATCTTTAATAATTGGATCCACTACTTGGTTGACTAGTTTTAATGGTGTGCACCATCCATCTTATGAGATTATATTTTATATGAGAGGAGTTGTTTTACAATGTCAAGTCCTCAAAAGTACATGTTGGGATTGTAAGTAATTTGCTAATACTTGGGCATACTCCCCCACATTTAAGGAATTTGTAGGAAGGTCTCTAACCTCTTTATACCTTAAAAAATTTCTCATTTCAAGAGCTGACGTCTTGATTGTCTCATTCAATTACCAATTAATTTTCCATTCTTCTTAATTAAGTAAATCTCATACATCAAAAGATAGCTAAGTTATCCCCACAATCCCCTTCCATTGTGGTTGCTTTTAACACTATCAATAATTCACTTTTACACTTTAAGAAGAAAATGAGAAAGATAGGTTCTTTGTCTAAACTTCCAAACTTTGAAGCCTCATTAGCCTTATTTGTATAAGCACGAATTGGCGCTTTGCCTTCAACCTTTGAACTTTGATAAGTTTCCATGGATAAACTTTCACTTTGAAATGCTTAACCCTTGCTTGCAGGCAACTCGATCATCATGACTAACATGCAAGTGAAATTATGACTTTCTTAATTTACGGTAGTTGTCAAAGTAATACCTTCATCGATGTTAATTAGCTAATCCTTATAATTTGTCCAAAGACAAAACTTGACCAGCATGCGTGTTCATATAATTATGTATTTATGAATCCAACCTGCCTCTTGCGCATATTCGACATACA